CCTTCCAGAGATCCAGATCCACGTTGGACGAAGCCATGGCGCCGAAGGTTTAGATCGACAAACGCATTCAACCACTACATTCACTTCTGAATCGTAGGGTTTAGGGACGACTCTCATTCAAGATGCCTATGAATGCAACTCGAGGAAGCATGGAAGGTTGAGAGGAACCCCCCTTGGCGCCCCGGACCCACAGCATCCTCCACTGTCCTGGCTGCCTGGGTCCGAAAGGCGCTCTTCCAGGCATCCGTCGAGAGAACGCATCTATGAGTGCTGTAGCAATGAACCTGCTCGAAATTCTAGAATATCTCCATAAGAAAATAAGATATGAAACATGAAAGAAATCGGTAATCTCGTAGTATAACGGTGACGAGTCTAGGGTCCTAGGAGGTTGAGACATATAAAGTAAGTCAATTGTATTGAAGGGCCCAATACCGGACGAAGTCTGAGTAGACCAAGGCCAAGGATGCAGAAGAGATGAAAGATGTGGTCGAGAAAAAAATCTTTAATTGAGGTGGAGAACACTCAAATGAGTGGCGAATCCGTCGCTAGTCTCTTCCTCTCGGCACCTGGGGATGTTAAGCTGCAGCTGGAGAAACAGCAGGATAATGCAGGGTATCCCACACCGGCAGGCACGGGTTGTCCCAGGTGCCTTCAACAAGCTGGAGGATCGCAAGACCATCGTAGATTGCGGCGTGAGCGGCGGGAAGCTTCCGCTGATCCTGGTCCGAAACTCGAGCTTTCTGCCCTCAAGGCGCTTCGATGGCTCCTTGGAAGGTTACGTCTTCAAGCTGAGGGACCAGGGATTGGGCTACTACCCCAGGCACCGAGCGGCTCTCACAGAAAAGCACAACCAACCAGCCACCGCCAGGGAGGTCGGGAATCGAAAATCCGTGAGGACAGAATAGGGTGTTGTAAGCTTACACTGAAGGACTAAGAGACCTGAGAAGGCCAAGACGAGGGGACTGTTTACCAACGCTGATGGACCTGCCCTGGTTGGCCCCTGGGAAGACGGGATGGGGGGTGGTGTAAGCTTACGCTGAAGGGTCAGGAGCCCTGAGAAGGCCAAGATGAGGGGGCTGTTTGCTTACAAGAAACTCGCAACTACATCAGACTACACATTGATCAAAATCCCCCAGAAGATACAGTATTAAAGTGAGCAAAAAGGGCGATATTTTCAAGATGTTCCAGAAGCATGTTTTTGAATCAGCCATTTAAGAAACTGGATTTTGGGGTTTTCAAGAGACCCCCTAAAGGTCTTATATTCATCTTGACGCCAAGTCCGATGACAGACACCATGTATCTTCGCGATGTGAGTGTCATGACGCCAGGAATGACTTGGTTGGGATCCCTAAGTACCTCATGTCTGTGCCTGCACACAGCACGGACCGGACACCTTTTTCAACTGCTGCCCCACAGCTTGAGGACGAGAACTCGAGTTTTCAGCACTTCAGCAGGGCCACCTCTGCTCATGGCAGTGCTTTGAACATCCTTCGCATCACCTGAGGCCCAGGCACGTGTCATGGCTGCTTCAACTCAGCCCCAGTGCTCAATGGTTCATGGTCCAACTGGCCAGGGAACCCAGTTAGGAGCCGCATGCTACAGCTTTCCGTGGCCGCTTGACGCCTGCATGCAATCAGGGATTTGTGGTGCGCATAAGACAATGCAGCAATATCGAGAAGCAAGTCGAACACCGAGCAGCAGGACGGAAGAGTTGGGCCTGGGAGTTCAGCCTTTGTCCTGGCCCGCTTACCACGTAAAGGAAGTTCCGTCGCAGCCTGTCATGTTGCGGTGAGGCTTGGCACAGATCAGCGCAGCCATCACACTGTGATTGCTGCACACTGTGTTGCGCGAGGAAGCCGCAGCCGCATCCCAAAACAAGGATGACGTGTTCAGGAGGTGTAGAAGGCCCTGAAAATATCTGAAAATGACAAGGCATGCCCCACAACTATCTCAGGCTGCCACCTCGGAAGCTTCGGCATTGTCTTTGGCGATGGCTTGCCTGGCCAGGAAAGGAGATCCGAAGTCCAAATCTCTCAGGATTGGGCGAGTTGAGTTAATGCGGGCCCCCTGCCTGATGGGTCCAAACGTCTTGCGATGCTCCGCACAAACCCCATGACGTCGAATCGCTTCTAAATGGGCTTCAGTGCCATACCCCTGGCCGCAGCCACAGTGACGGTCAGAACACAAAGGCGCGGGATTTGAATCTTTAAACGATAGAACTCCTTAGCTCCTGTGGAAGGTGGGTTGAGGTTGTTGATGGCATCTGGCCTTATGAGCCTTGAACCCATAGAGCGGGAATTGGACATCGAGCTTCTCCATGTGACGGTCTCGGTACACCTTGGGGGGCAAGGCCTCGCCCTACTACGCTGCTAGAAGCTGCGAGAAGGTGGTTTTTGCCGCATCAGGGGGCCGCACCTTTGCAATCACCGATGCGGCGGAGATCCTCAAAGCTGGCGGTGAAGCGAGCCGAGCACGTCAACTGCCTTTGTTGCGAACAAGGCTCGATGGAACGCGTCCATCCCCTTCGATGACAGCCTCCACTTCCTTTGGTCGCCACTCCTCCTCAGCCTGAGCCTTTGGCTCAACAGCCTTTGAGAAGAACCGTGCCAGCTTTGTCTGGTTCTTTCGGGCTTCGAGGTCTCTCTGAGACATCCTGGTCCACTTCTCTCCCGGCTCCAGAAGCTCCGGCGGGCGGTTGCAGCCATCCACGAGAACCGCCCCTCACAAAGGCCGAACGTCAGATTGTCAAGGAGTCTCCCCTTGAGCAGAGCCAGGCTCCGGACCCGGACGCACGGTGAGGCCATGTACAGCACGGGACATCGCTTGCAGCGAGGCCTAGCAGGACACAAAAACATTGCATATTCATTCACATTGGAAGAGACCCGAGGCCACCCACAAATTCACCCAGTCCGTATGTTTGGCCTGGAGGATGTTGCCTTCATCAATCTCGCTTGCCGAGCACTCGGCAACGGACCAGGAGGTGCGTCCCTTAAACTTCGGATCCGTCAGCTCCTCTAATCGAACTTTGGGTGCCTTAGGCCCATGGTGACAGATTTCGCAATTGTCCTCGAAAAGGCTTTCCCGCTGCTGCTCGGACAGCTGCTTCGAATCATTCACCCTGGACAGCACATCGAGAACCTTAGGTCTCACAATGCCGCCTAGCGGATCCGAGAGACAATGGCAATGCGTGTCCTCTCGCTTTCGAACTTGGATCATTTAAAATCATTTCAGGCCGAGCGATGTGTGCCACATGTTCTGATCACTGCGTTGGAATTCGTGCAGTGGATACGGAAAGTCTGTCTCTAGGCTTGTGGCCTGAGAACGCATCATGGATTCCATCCTTTATGATGTTTCTCCCGAGTGCTAACTTGCCTTCTGAGGCCATTAGGTGCAGAATGATGGGACTTATCAAAAAAGAATGTGAAACGGCCAACACTGGATTGCATCTGGCTGAACCTCTTCATCTTTGGAAGCAAGCACAACGAAGGCGGCGGCGACGACCTGATCAGCGACCGACGAAGGCTCCAGAACCCTGGCAACATTTGCTGTCCTTTCTGGTTCTCTGCGGTCCTGGCCGGCCCAGCTAGCGGTCCCCGACCTGCCTCTCACAATACCAGAGCATCCAGAGTGACATCTGAGGAATCCGAGCTATCCAAGCTGCCCGCTTCATCGACACCGGCCACTAGATCTCCCTTCGCCCACCAATGCTGCTCCCAGGATTCCAAGCCCTGGTCATCAACAATTCATCAAAAGCAACGGCACCTTGCAGAAATTCGCTCGAATTACCACCGTGTGTAGACTGTGACGCCTTTCTCTCATGCGCGCTGTCAGCGGAGCTCCCGCCTTAGAAAGCAAAAGCTGCGCTTTCGCACGCTGCCACACTGGTCCTCGCAAAAAAGCCTGCAGCTCAGTGGTGGGCCGAAGCCCATTGCCAGGCTCAGAGCTGTCTCACCACAACAGGAGCCAAGCGGCTAAACGAGGGTTCAACGGCTAGTGTTCTTTCAGCTTTCCCGGCTCCGCTGAAATCCCAAGCGCAGGCCATATTTTGACGACACGGGGATGCACGGGGTTATGTCGGGATACATCATGTCATTTTTCAGATCATATGTCATATATCGGCACAAGCTATGTCATCACACGGATTTTCGAACCGTCTGAGTGCCCAGATCTGCCTCCGTTGCATGATGCACACAGACAACTCACAATGGTCAACATACTGTGCACCGACAGGAGCCTTTGAAGCTATCATCAGCATCTTGCACACGTGCCACAGGTGATGCCAAATTGCACTCGCAGCTGCAGTTAAAACCAGACAAGCCTTGGTAGATCTTCGTAGGCCCTGGCTAAGTGCGCACTAAGTACTCTCTAAGCAATTGGACCTCGGTAGCCTCCAAGTCTCACGTGGATTGGAATGCCGGAAAAAGGCCCCTGGACGTCCTCCCCAAAACATATCCGCCTTACTGAGGCCGCTCTGGCTCCCCCCTCCCCCTTCGACGCCCTCACCTAACATCTCCACTTGTCGGCGCATCTGTCAAAGGCCTTCTGTTGGAAGAGGTGTTAAGGGGTCGGAACAAAAGGGGTGCAGCGCACATCCCAAATCATGCACTCGCAGCAGTCACTTCAGCGTGGCGTGGTCTCGACGTTGGCGACACAGATCGAAGCCCTTCGAGACAGTTGTCGCCCATCTGTCGCCCCATGGCCTCCCCGGAGGCCCACGCCAAGTCGCAGAAGACTTGCCCGTCAAATGCCACTAAACACAGGCCGTTGACTTCATGTCCCATGACTTTGCTGGTGTTCTTCTTGAGCTACGGTCTCCAAGGCACGCGCTTCTTGTCTCTCATCGAACAACACCATGCGTGACAGCCGCGGAAAAAAGACTGCCGTGGGTCTGGAGACGTCCCTTACTCGCAACTCGCCAGGGCAACCTCCGAAACTTCAAGGACCGTAGTGCTTCACAATGCTCCTTCGTGCTCCACTTCTGCGCCATAGCCTTTTTCAAGGAGGGCTTCCCTCATCTCCGCTCGAGCACTTGTCCATCGTGACCTGTAGCTTGGAAAGGCCTCTGCTTCTCCACACTTGCGTCTGCCATCTCCCTGTGGTACCAGACATTAATCGGACTATGGCTTTGCGGACTTCTCCACCAAAACTTGGCAGAGCTCGCATTAGTCCGGATCAATGCCACACTTTGCAGGTGCTTCCATGATTGTGCTTGAACAGGGTCTAGGCCCGAACTGATTCAACGCGAAAGTTCGCATCCTGCTGCAGGCAGAGAGCGAGAAACCCTGAATACACATGAGATTCGTTAGGACGAGTCGGGCTCGTTTCGAAAGGCTTGCGAGCTAACCTTGTCAATCATGACTGTAGCGCATGTCTCGAAAAAAAAGCAAGTATGTCGTCAGTTTTTCTCCGCCGTCTGCACCAGCTGCTCTGGCAAGAGACCTGAAATCAGAACAATCACGCCTCTTCAAACTCAAAGCCTGAAGCTAAAAGCATTTAAACGCCTATGCCACACGCGCCAATGCTTTAAGCACGAGACGCCTTGGTAGGGCTGGGGTACGTGATCCAGCGCCTGGAAAGAGGCAAAGCTAAAAAGCTTGGGGCTTGAAGTCCAAGCCTCAGCATTTATAAAAGACCTCCGTACGGAAAGCCCTGCAACATCATGCCACATCCAAGGGTTCCTACTCATCCTGCAGTTGATCCATACTCAGTCTCTGTTCGGGGTCACCTGAGCGATCTCGACTTGGGCGGCCGCAAGGCCTCTTCGAGGTCCGAGCCCTGGACAGCCACGAGCCATGGACACTTTGACTGAGGATGTCAACACCAAGATACTCCAGGGCACTTCAAGAACTGATGAACTCAATCGCTGATTCTGTCTCGACTCCAACCAGGAGGGTGGGCACCTCTTCGAGTGGCTGGCCCTCGTGTTCTCGCACTTCTCCGAAATGAGCTTCCTCCTTCCACTCGAACACTTTGAAGCCGAAACAAAAAAAAAGCTACAAGGAGACACAGCAAATTCTTGGGCAACACATGATAAGACATGCTTTGACCTTAGCATGTCCCTCACCACAATGTTCCTGCAGCTGCCGGGCCTCGACACCAGTCTCAGCATCACCCGCCGAGAACTCATCTGGCTCTAGCTGCCCAGGCAGCAACACCTCCCAACAAGTCTAAGACTCGGCCTTACAACCCGAAAGACTTTCAAGGACCTTATAGAACCTCCAAGCTTTCGGAGCTAGGGTCAACTTCTACGCTCGTTCTGCTTTCGGCTCACAATGCGAGCACGAAAAATATTCGCTGGCTCCAGAGACAGAAAGAATATCCTCGAGTGGGAGACTGCAACGACGAGAGACACTTCCAGAACATACCCTTCTAGAGTCCCCTGCCTCGTTGTCGGTGGGTCGGGGAGGCGCCAGCTTGAACAGCTCTGGCAGTTGCGCAACGCCCTGACACAAGTGTCCCAGCAGAGTCAATCACACATTGGCCATTTGCTTAGGCAAGCTTGACGCAGCTTCGACTCCGAGCTATGGGCCCGCGTGACGTCGGCGACAAAATAGAGGGCTTTGGCATCAGTAGGGTCACGCACCATCGATCTGGGCGCGTGTGCCTGCACATGTGCCATGCTGGGTGGCCGCGTTTGCCACCCACCAAGCAAGCCACGCGAAAGGTTGAAAGACTATAAGATGATCAGATGGGATTGAGGGTTCAAGCTTTATGCTATCAGGAGGCCGCCTTACGTGCTCCTTTAATGAAAACAAAAAAAGCTTCCCATGCGCCAGAGACCTTCTTCTCACAGACTGGATTGGCGTTGGTGGTGTTAGGGTGGTGCCAATATGCTGTGGATAGTGTGGCTGATGTGCAGGTGGTGGTTTGGAAGATGTGGGTGGTGCGAGTGGTATGGGCGATGCAGATGGTGCAGACGTGCAGGTGCGGTGTGGCCATAAGTCTGTGTGCATGGAGGTGATGTGAGTTTTGTGGGTGGCATGGTTGGTGCGGACGTTGTGTGGGCGGTGTGGGCGGTAGGTACCGTCTGCAGCTTTCGGTTGGCTTTGTGGAGGCGTTTTCTTCTTCTGCTGACAGCGCTTTCTTGGCATCATTTGTCATGCTCAAACGTCGCCGATGTATAGGGCATTTGTTGTTTTCGCAGGGCTTGCTTTCTCGCACGTGTTTTCATGTTGTGACTCTCTCGCTTTTGCCTTTCCCGATTTGGCCATAGGGGGTTCTGACTCACCTGGCCTGACTCAAATGCACTTTTCACAACTTGACCGTCACTCTTCCATGCTGCAGCTAGGCAGGGCATTGGAGCAGAACAAACGAGCCGGATTGACATTCCTCGGCCTGAACGAGCTGTTCTCACACCGATCATCCGCCACACTACTGCGGCATGGTTCTGAGGCAGAAACTTGGTGGCCGGGGCTGGTGTCCAGTGACAGTTGCAGTCCAGCTCACCACTCACGTCGCACGTGATTTGCAGCAAATCCTGACGAGCTATCTTCGGGTCTCAAAACCTACGAAACACTTCGAGCTGCGAAGCCTTTGGCTGCCCTGGAAGCAGGAGCACCTCAACCCAGGCACCCGCGCCAGGTTTTTACCAGAAAGCACAGGCTTGCCGATCCATGGCTAGGGCGCCAGCAGCTGTCTCAGATGGACCACAGGTTCCAGAGATTGCTGGCTGCTGAGCCTGCCCAGGCTGAAAGACCCTCTCCGGATGAGCATCAGTTGCAACACAAAGATGGAAAACGAAGAGGTGCCAGAAGACCTCATCGTCTGGACCGGCTTGCCGTCTTTGGGCTGGATCAAGCCATACTCCAAAACGCCCGCCACCAACAGCTAGAACCCGGCCACCTCTGAAAACAAAAGCCGCGTTCCGAGGATCTGGGAAGCCACAAGCACCCATGGCAGATCATGCCTGGGCCTTCTGGGTCGGCATCCAGACTACGAGCCGGAGCGCCTCTGCAAAAACAAGGGGTTCCCCACTTCCCGGGCCCCTCTCTCCGCGGAGAAAGACCGTGGGCATGACACAGGTTCAGGATTCAGGCGCTTCCCATACCTCAGGACAGGGTTTGTTTGCCGGCCTAGGTGGAGTCGCCGGACGACCGTAGGAACTTGTAGTCGGCGTGACAACTCCCAAACCTCGGATAAATTTCTGCAGGAATGCAGCGCCAAGATATGCACATGCTATCGACCAACCAGCACGCACTGAGACTGCCGCCACTCCGTCCTGAGACCGCAAACATGGCAAACTTGCCCCCTTTTGCTGCTCATGGCAATCCCTCCCGCATTGACCAACTTGGACAGGAACCTCACAGCCCACCAGAACATTCTTGCCGCGTGCACGTATGCTCAAGGCAGGCACACCTCAATGATCTTCAGACGACACTTCCATTGAGTGCAACAAGTCAGCGCAACGGAGCGTGCAGCCATCCCTATGCTTTCCTCGGGGCATCTCGGGGCTTTGCCCACAGTGAAGAAGTCCGAGGGCGAGAAATTTGAGAGCACATCCAGCTGCTTGATGGTGCCATCCTTGGTGAGCCATGTTGGCGGCTGTCCAGTACTGGTTCTGACTTGTTATGAAGCCATGGACCACTCGTCCCTTGGAGAGCGACCTCCGAAGCCGTCAGCAAAATGTCGCCACCACTGCTGAGAGCCCTCACCTCGAGCACCGCTGAAACAGATGCCAGCAGATGCACGGATCTAGAAGAAAGGCTGGCCCGGCGAGCAAATTCACGGCTTTGCACCAGAAGGAACACGGCTCATGAAGTTGCCCAACGGTTTTGAATCGAAAGTATAGAGTCGAGAAAATGCTGGGGTTCACGGCCGACAGCGTTCATGCCACATGCAAACAACTTTCAACCAACTTATGGAAGAATACCGCTTCCAAGACTCAGCCTCGACTTATTGAACAAGATCCCCCAAGCATGTGACATGCACCGAAGCAGAGCAGCTGCGTCAGTTCAGGCAGCGGCCGGCCCTAAATGCGCGTGCACATGCACAACCTGCTCCGCTCCGGGGGCTTTATGTTGTAGCTGGGGTGAAGATGGGGATTTCAGGGCCACAGCCCCTGGGCTGTCGACTGGCATGGCTCGGACATGCCAGGGGGTGCAAGTGTGGGGGCACACTAGTCACTAGCCAGGTTGAAGGCCTCGAAAAGTCGAACTAAGTTTGAAGGGCTGTGGGCAGGTACTTGCCCCAAAGATCTGCACTCCGAGCAAACTGGAGTGCAAACTTACCCAGGTGCGTCACCAGCACATTTCAACTAGGGGAATTGAACATACTTTATGGCCGACACGCCAGTGATCCATACCCGTACACACTGCTCTCTAGGGAAGCATGCCATGTTGCCATGTTCAACTGTTCAACTCGTGTCTGACACAGACTTGGCATGCAGTGGCCCAGCACCTCCTTGAGGACGCTCCTTCGCAAGTGCCTTAGACGGCGCTCGGAGTGCTCCCAAAGACCAGCCTTACCAATTGATTTAATACAATATTTTACATTTCCTTACACCTCAGGTGTGCGCCACACTCTGACGCGCCCGGCCTCACGCAATGCAGGGCATGCGGGTAGGCATGGACTCTTGCGGAGCACAGTCCAGGTCCCGTGCAGCATCTCCCGCAGCTATCGTCTGCGACCCTAGCCTCGTCAGTCAAGGGCGTGTGCTGTTCAGCGAAAAGGAAAATGCAAAGCTTGCCCATGCGAGCATGCGCACAACAACACCCTTTGGATTGATTCAAAGGAGAGTTGAGTCCCGTACCCTGCCACACATGTAGCCTGCCAATGCAGGAACTGTCTCTGTCGGAACTCGACACCGTGCTTGAGGCTACGAAATCTAGGCTCATTACTTGCTGCCTTCAGGCACCTCGCCCGTACTGTGACAACCCCGCGAGGGCCCACCTCGCACTCAATCTCAGCGAGGCGGCAAATCGCACCCGAAGGTTTCACTGACCACGCCTGCCCAACAGACTGGTGATTTCTTATTCGCTACTTACCTGCGCTGCCGCCACTCGGCTGCACCAAACCACGCTGAAGAGCAAACTGTGGTGTCTGTCCGGCCGCGTCTGTCCGGCCACATCGGTAGGGATCACGACACCATTCTTGCTAAAGTGTGAACAAACGTGAACAAACTGTTGCTTACAAGCTCTGCTAGTGAGTCATGAGTGCATCCATCGTTCACACTGCTCTCTCGAAATCTCTTTCTTCTTCCCCACCCCGCCGCCCCCACTGAGCCCACCCAAGAATGCGGGCCGGCTCTCTCTGTTTACCATCTGGTTTATTCTAACTTTAATGACTGGGAGATTGGCGGCTTGCCGCACATCTTAAGAACCTCATGTAGAGTTCGTGCCAGCTTGAACTGAAGAAGAAGCGAAAAAGAACGCACATGTTCTAGTGAGGGCAGTCATGCGGCACGTGCAAACGATGGTGCTCAGCGAAAGGGGATCTTCGCCTGCACACCCTTCTTGGAGCACGTGATCAAGTCCCCATTCTCTAAGCAGCCGATGCTGGAAGTTCCCTGCCAGGTGAAAGGGCTCTCTGGACACTGCCAAACGTAAGTGCTCCACCTCAGGGAGTTTATCCAGCTGGTGCAGGACAAGGCTGCACTGCTGAAAACCGGCCGCCATAAGCAGCGAAAACGAATGAATTCTTGAGCCGCGGTGGAAGCCATGTCCAGCAATGCAACACATTGGGCAGTCTTCCTCAACCTCTATTCTGGCAACATGGTCTTGCTGGCTCAGCCCGGCTGCCAATTACCGCTTACCCACTTTACCCGTGGTGCAAGTCGCTTCTAATTGTGGCTTTTTGTTCATCGCGAAGACGTGAGGCAAGGCACGCATGTGTGGTTCCAAGTAGTAGCGCACGTGCACATATTCGGCCCTTTTTGTTTGCCGCATCTGGTAGCGATCTGCTTGCTGCCCTTGATAATAACATCTGCAGGAAAGGACTCACAACATTCAGCGGTAACGCTTGCATCAACGACAGCTGGTCGACATGAGATCCGGCATACGGCTCATCATACAACAACTCAACACATACGCAGCCATCGGTTCTCACCCGCACGCGCGAAGGCTCTTCGCCTTGCAGGCTCACTGCGTGGGCATGCGGTGGCCTCACAAGCTCGTCATGTGCACCTGGTACCCTGTTGTTATGGCCCTAACCCTCACTCAACAGCTATCCGAGGCGCAGTCTCTCTGCATGCGGTACATGTACAAAGAGCTTTGAAACTTGTGGCCTGATGTTATGATGCTGTGTAGCCTTCTAGTTGCCTGAATACCAAATACATGCAGGACTTACTCCCTCTTGGCGTTCGAGCTAAGTCATGTGTGTGGGGTCCTCATCATGCTATCGACGACGGCGACGGTGACGGCTTCGCGATTCGTCACGCCGCCCCCTGTCCAACATCCAGCTGAGAAGGGGCGGCAAGTCACGCTGCAAATCACCCCCCTTCAGACCCAAACACTGCCTTCTGCGCCGACGCCGCTCTCGCGAAGGCGACCTTTGGCGTAATATGTGGCAAGAGGGCACGGCCTACGTCAGTGTGCATCACCCCCTCAATTGTCGGGAACCGCTCAGCCAGCTACGGAGTGTAGGACCTTAGCGTGAGCGCGAGGTCTTCATTCATCTACGGCAGTGCAAATATCCAGATGAACTTTGACACAGGAGCCCGGCGAACTGCCGAGGCCGTGCAGTTGCAAACAACAGCTGAAACACACACACACACACACACACACACACACCACACACACACACACACACACACACACACACACACACACACACACACACATATATATATATATATATACACTCACTCACTCACCCACAAACCCACCCACTCACTCACTCACCCACGAATGAAGAGGGCAAGGTAAAAGTTTTCATGAGCTACGATGGGCCGTTCATGCTTCGTCGATCGCCGCTTATGTAATTTGGGGGCCACTGGCTTTTGGGTTCTTTGTGCAAGGCAGGGGTGCTTTGGAGTACAAAAACAACTGCCTCCTGCTCAATTTTTGTCATTGCCTTCTCTGAGAAGGAACCCCTCTCATCGCGATTTGGATGTTCTTCCCAGTGCTGGGCTCCAAGCTCAGAACGGGAGTCGTCCCGTCGTCTGCGTGAGCCTCAGCACGTGACAAGCACCAGCAGAGTTGGGTCCAGGACCAAGTTCTTGAATTGGAATCGTCTGGACAGGCCTGGCACAAGGAACTTCTGGTCCATCAACAAATCTGTACCGGCTTAAAAAATATTAAGATGAAGGCTTCAACTAAGCAGGGTTGCCGCCCCACGCTCAGGGCATACTGAGCTGCAATAGTGGCTCGCCACATGGGTTGCAGCTTTTGTGCTCGTGCCTCTGAGGCTTTATTGCGGCTCACCAAGCCAAGTCTTAATCCTTCGACATCCCATGCTGCGGTTCCTCGGTTGCTTGCGTGATCTGCGGCCTGCTCTTCGACCCTTATCAGGTAACTCCTGAAGGCTGATAGACTGGCATCTCGTGCAGGTGGTGCTGCAGACACACGCAAGCTACAAGATATGTCCTCTGCTGTTTTCTTGGCCTGCGGGAGCAGCAAACAAAGTGGCCATGGTTGCCCTTCAGAACACTGATAGAGGCTATTGGCCATCTGAACCGAAAGCACCCAAAAGCTCCTGAGGCCACGCCTACTTCTGAGGGCGGCGCCAAAACTCTTCAGAACACTGATGGAAACTATCGCAAGCTGCAAACTATGAAAGCCCCTGTCCCATTCCCACAGATTCTAACCCTGTGCCACCTGCATGGACAGAGACACGCTGACCTCCATGCCCATTATGTCCTTCCCATCCTTGTGGCAAGGGCAAATTGACAAACAAAGAGGAAAGTCGCCCTCTTGGTGGCATGCCATTGCATCAACAGCGTCTTGAGCGTCACCTAGCTCGGCAATGACATAACAGACTTCACCCTTGGAACTGTGCAGCTTTCTTTTTGCTGGGGGAGCGGCTCTTCTCCAGGTACCGCACAAACGCAAAATTCCTGTCTCTTGGTATATACACCTTGTTCGGAGGACGCGTGTGAGACTTGCAGCTTGCACCCGGACGCACAAGAACTTGCTCAAGTTCTCAAGGCTTCCGCATCTCCAATCTCTCCAAACTTGGAGAACTTTTCCCTGAGCTCCTCTTTGACCTAACTGCTGCAATGTCGAGGAATACCAAACGACAAAGAACACAAACGATAAAAACTCGTGGGAACCACGAGTGCCTGACTGAGATTACTTCATCTTGTGAGCAGCTGATATTGTCAATCTTGACGCTATGCCTGCAGGGCTCATTGCAGACACGCGCTGGTCGTGCTTGTGTTCTCATCGTTATCAAGCAGCTGATGGATTAGGAAGCCCAGTCACAGGTGATTGACATCCGGGATACGGGCCATGCGCTGTCAACCTGGTCAGGTAGCAAGTCAAAGGCTCTGTGACTTCGACGGGCTTGCAACCCTCTTTTTGGCTGCGGTTTTTACATTGCATCATTGCATTCTATCTGGCCTTGGCTGCAAGGCTCGTTTCGCCGCAGAGGGCTGCCGGCACCCCTCGGCGGGGTTTTCCCGCTGGAGGCCGCTTGGGATCCACTTGGGTCGCTCGAAACAGCAGAAGATTGCCAGCGGTGGACTGTAGCACTGTAGCATGTGAGATGTGTTCATACCAAGTGGCAGTGCATGGCTTGACTTACACTCATGTCACGCTGCTCACAGAAAATGTTCCCATGCCATCATGGCCATCAAGTGGTGCCTTCCCGTTTTCCTCCGCATCGTTTACCCCGTCTCCGCGACCTAAGACGAAACATCCATCCAAAACCCCAGGATGCCAAGCCCTGGTGGCACACAAAGCCTCCCTTACAGGCCCTAGACTTTGATGGCTTTGCCAGTTCGGATCAAAATCAAGATTCCCGGGAGTGAAGGGAGGATTCTGATCTGATGACCACCAGGAGAGAACCGCGGCAGCTCACAGCAGGGCACTTCCCTGGAGGAGAGTACGGGTCAATATTTCTTCGGGCACAGGTGCGTTATATTGAGGGAGTCTGCAACAAGCAAGCCCACCATAGTGACCACACAACGTCAGGAATCTGCTCTCTGCTGCCCACGCTTGCCGTCCCATGCCTAGAGAAATCAATGATCTAGGCAAGAATTGGCAAATGCAAGCAGGGGCATCCCACTAATTTCATAATGCCGTTGCTCATCCAACAGCACGACGGCCCCTCCTGGCAGGAGATGACTTCCGAAAACCGCTACATTCCGTCAATACACGGTCACAAAGGCCTCTGGGCTGCTTGCGCCTTGGCTGCCTTGGCAAATCGGAGTCGGCTCGCGGTAAACTTGGGGTGCAAGAACAGCGAAATTCACTCAGCTCAACTCACTCAGCTCTCTCAGTTCCCTGCCGGCTTGGGACCGTTGCCCACCTCAGTTCTGAGGCATTCGTAGGCTGGAAGAGCGCAGTCATCCGCAGCCAGCTTCGTTGAACAGTTTCCAAGGAACAGGCCGCCGCAGCTGCTTCCGCAGCGAGGCGAGCCAAAGATGGCTTTCCCCTCAGATGTTGGTGGGGCGTGCAATGTGGGATTTGGGGGTTCGGCCTGTCGTCTTTCTGCTGCAGCTTCGGTTTTCCGTCATGGGAAAGTACTTGGGACAAAGCACCTATGGAAAGCTCTAACTTTAAAATAACAACATCAATAGAAGCAGATGGCGGTGATGTCTGCCAATCTTGCAAGAGCTGAGCACGGGGCTTGAATCCGTTGAGGGATGGCGCATCAGCCTGGGAGCTGCAAGCTGAAACTAAATAGCCAACCCTTGAAACATCTTGAATCCAGTTGCGGAACCACTGGCCTGATAGGGATAAGGGCTTTGTTTATGGCTCGCTGTTCAAGGCAGTGCTGCACGGCTCGCGTCCCAGTGGCTGGTCAGGAAACATGCCCACTGAGTCAACATGCTTGAATCCATTGATGCCCACCACAAATGACAGGACCACCTACGCTCGACCCTCACTGAACTGAACGATGACCCTCCTGAACTTCTATCCTCAGATGGAAATATTTTTCGCAACAAGGACAAGACATCGTTCAAAAGACTTCAAAAGACAAAAACACTTCGTTCCACCACGTTATCGTTGCAAGACTGCTTAGCGGCTTTGCGTGGCAACTGCTACTGAGCGCAAGGTCCGCGCTGCCGCGACAACGAGAACCGAGGCAACGGGCTCTTGCTTGGAAGTCCACCCGATGACCATGTGATGACATTCCGAAGCCAGAGGGATATGCAAGCCACGGATACTTGTGATGTTTGAACTGCAGTCCACTCTCTGGGCCCCCGCGCAAAAGCCGCAAGTGGTCTCGCGAGGCTGCGAAGTCGCCCGGCCTCCAGGGCACCAAGAAGGCCGGTGCCTTGGAAGCGCGGAGCCAAAGGCGAAGTCGAAAGACAAATGAGAGAAAGTGCTCAGAAACTGCTCGAAAGACAAAGTCTTTCTTTCCTTGAAACTTTAAAGGGCCCCCTTTCTTTCTTTCTTTCTTTCTTCCTTTCTTTCTTTCTTTCTTTCTTTCTTTCTTTCTTTCTTTCTTTCTTTCTTTCTTTCTTTCTTCTTCTTCTTCTTCTTCTTCTGCTTCTGCTTCTGCTTCTGCTGCTTCTGCTTCTTCTGCCTTCTGCGCGCCCATGAACCTGAAAACTGCCGACCTCACCCCTTAAGCCTTCAAGCCTCTTCATGCAGCTGAAGGGCCACGAGTGGGGCTTGACCAAGGAGGGCTCTCTGGCGAGTCGATGCCTTTGGCCTTGGCTTTCGCCTTCACTCCAGCCTTGGCCGAAGACTTGGCGGAAGCCGAAGACTTGGCCGCAGCCTTGGCCACAGCCTTGGCCGAAGCCTTAGCCTTCCGCCCAGACTCCGGTGACTCCAGGCTTTTTGGCCTCTGTTTGGCCGGCAACTTGCGCTCCTTGCCCTTCGGCGGCTCCTCATGCTTTGCGCATCTGGACTGGAAGCAAGAACCACCGGTGACTCCGACTGCAACAAAGGGGCAACTTCCTCCTCTTGCTTGCGATTCTCATTTCGCCACGTTTGCAACCTTTCGTCGCCACATGTTGGTCGCACATGCAGAATTACGAGGCTTCGATCATTCCGACTGGTGCCACTGCTTACTGCCACTTGCCGCCGAAGAGCGGGGAGATGCGCGTCCGGCCGGACTTGCAGCAGCCTGCAAGAAGCTCCATGGCCTCGCGACACAGTGCAGCGGCCTGCACTCACACTTGACAAACCTTTACCTTTGGTACTCAGCGCTTGGGACCTTCGGGTGGGATTGGTTGTTCGTTTATTGGGCCCGTCCTTCTCGTCCATGCGCTTGGATCGTTTCTTTCTGCCTCATGCAGCATGCAGGAGTCTGCAGGAGCCAACTTGGAAGAAAAGAGCCACTTGCTAACACGGAAACGTGGCATGAAACTTAGCCTGACACGAACAAATACAATAGCAGCAAAACATGGAAAGAAAACCACGATGATGGCAACATTGTTTGTATTGCATATGAGACACTTGGAGAGCAAAGCCCTGAATCATCCTGAACCGTATCTGGTTTCTGCACCCGTCAAACAATCGACGTGGCTTCGTGCGGGCAATTCCCTTTCCCCACACACACTCTTTGGCATTGCTAGAGGCCACTGGACAGAGACGACTGCCGCAAAAAGAGAGATAGACAGAGAACGGTGAAGATCAGACTGGCTGACTCACAGGGTGCCCAGGCCCCCTTTGCTCAATGCAGGCATCTTCATGTACAGAGGTCTGCGTGCGCATGCTCCCGAAAGGGCTTTCTAGCCGGGATTTTTCAAGCGGCGTACATGACTTCTCCAACTGAGGCCAAGGTTTCCTGCAGACCGCGGCACGCAGAACGAATGCTGCCCACCCAATGTGGCATAAGAAGAATACTCTACGTACTGGTTGAACACTGCACTAGCACATGTTCAACATGGAACTATATGGCGCCAACGCTCCAGAGAACTTACGCCTACATGCCATCGCGTTGTGAGAAGGAACATAAGGTGCGTCCACATTTGTTTCACCACGAGCTGACACCTCGACGTCTGTCAGTGTGCTGTGGTAATAAGTTGATGTGTCACTCAAGTAGCGGTTTCACGCAGACACATACGCGCACACACACACACACACACACACACACACACACACACACACACACACACACACACACACACACACACACACACACACACACACACACACAAAAACAATCTGAGGTCCTAAATACCAACTGCCCCTCGACAAGACCATGGAAAGCCACAAGCTGTTGCACAAACATGTGTCACGACCCCAAAGCATTCAAGCATCGTGCTGTCGGCGAGAAAGCAGAAGTGATCACTGTCACAAACGTGCCTGCAGTTCCACGAACGCTGGCCTTGTCCTGCACTTGTGGGGCTCCAAAGGCTTGAAGACTACAACGCAACCTTGCTGAATTCATAACCCCCTTCATCCCTTCAAAAATTCTAAACATGCCGAACCGCTATACCACAACGCCCTTTCGGCGTCCTCCAGAGGGGCCACGGTGTCGTCCACAGCGGACACAGGATCCAGCCCGAAGTCATCCAACAGCGGAGGCTCAGAGTCCTGCAAGCTTCAGCATGCTAGCTCCAGCCACGATACCCCGGGACATGCAGGAACATACCAAAAACGCCAAAATCAAACTGCAGCTGCAGTCCTCCATCACAATGTCTTGACTGGTGCTCTCCTCGGCAGGCTGAAGTTGACAACTGCCCAGCTGGATCCATGACCAGAGAGGCGCACCATCCAAGAAGAGGGCGGCTTCAAGAAGGGCGGGTGCTCCTTTTTTCAGGCAATTTCAGGCAATCAAGAAGAAATCGCACTCTTCGGGTTTCCACTTGCGTGCCTCAGACACTCCGCGAGGAGCCTCAGGACAAGGAGCGTGACACGAAGCGGCCTGCGATTCTCCCTTTAAGTCTTGCACGAGGCCAGCCAGGGAAAGAAGAGCATTCGCTGCTGCCCGGTTGGGGCCTGCACAGCATTGCACAGCTTTTGAATTCAGACACTTCCACTTCAGAGCCGCGCTGAGCCCCTGCTGAGCCCGAAGCTGGCTCCCATTGCCTGGAATTTGTTGAAGGAGGTACGTATCAGCTTCTTGGCCTTGCGCATCGCAGATGAGCCTTCAAGGGCAGGGCAGGCTGCAATGCAAACGGCTCCGGGCACGTGCGAGTCACTGCTAGACAAGGGCCGCACGTGTCTCGCAAGGTCGCTTCAGCTTGTTCCCTTTTAGAACCTGACATCGTTGGCTCGTTGGAGCTTGCATCCAAGAGCGACTCATGGTGGGAGCACGTCCGTACCCACAACTGCCCGCATTGGCCCTTTCTCCACCATATGGCTCGAGAACGCGCAGAGGCTTTAAGCTGCTGACTCCGACCGATGCCGAGCTTTGCTAAGCTAGCACGAAACGGCTGGCGAATCAAGCCACGAAGCCTTCAAAACTGAAAGCATGTCCCGATGTCCGGCAGCCCGACCTCTTCTTGCACTTCGTCGCCACTCAAGGTGACCCAAACGGGAGCATTGCTCGGCAACGGTACATCACACGGTGCTGAACAGCCTTCCACATCGGTGGCGAACTTCCTTGGCAATGCCAAACCTTGATGCCATGTGTATCTTCGCTGGCCAACCTCAAGCACTTGTGCTGATTCAGGTACGGGACGACTGCTTCCAGAAAGGCCGTCTGCACCAAAAGGCCGGGCTTCAATCTCCCGCCAGAAAGCAACCATGAAAGTAATCCGTCGCTGTGAGTTCTCAGAAGCGGGAGCTGTGCCGCAGCCTGGAATTACCCCGTGAAGATGCTTGCCATCGTAAGCTGCCATGCGACCCTCCCTTGGGTGGACGAACCATCCCCTGCTAGCCAGTGAGGCCCTTCCAAGCACCTGGTCCGTGACAAGAGTTGGTCCACCTACACCATCTGGTGCTGCGACATACAGCACACAGCTACAAATCGGGTTGCGCACCCCGCCAATTCCTTCATTGTCACTGTCGTAATGCATCTGATGGCCACAAGCATGGGGCCGCTTGTGCGCCCACCACTCTGCGACTGTTGCTTCAGACAGTCCTGGGAAACAGGCTTTCACCTTCAAGAATTCCCAAATGTGACGAATGATAACATCCAGCGTATTCTTCTCCTGGCCCATCAGATGCTGAATATAGCTAAAGTATCCATTCTCCCCGCTGCCCGTCACTTCGTTGTACCCGTGTTCGCGCCAGAACACGGATTCAGGCGTCAATAATTCTTGAAGGTGTTGCACAAAGCGTTTCGGCAAGGCATTGTCAAACACCACCCCTGGAAACCCTTCGCCATTGATGGGAGTCTGTGCCGAAGCGTATCTCCAAATCCAAGATGCCAGTCGATATTGATACCCGGCCGATTTCAAGAGCGCCGTGGCCTCTTCCTCCCTCGCGCTTTGGAGCAGGAGGATGGCAAGCCTCGTCAAGATCGCATGATGAGTTCGGCTGCCGCTGCTGCCACTGTTCCCGGCCAGGGCATGGCGCAAAACTTGCTCGCACATCTTGGACTCATCAGAGTCCCCATCTGTTCTGTCACTTCCGCCACCTGATGTGGCCATCACATGGAGCAACTGAGCGAACCTCAACGATGTATCCAGGAAATGCGAATTGTGCGAAGGATTGAGCACCATGACCTTGGCGTAGGCCTCGCGTGCGCCGTCCCAATCCCCATGCCGTTCCAACGCGTCCGCTTCATGGAATGCATTCTCGGCGTCAACTTCTGACCACAACCGCACTGCTGCAGCCTTAAGTCTTTGCTCCGTGGCCTGCAATGTACGCTTGGTTTTTGGCTGGGCACGCTTCAACTTTTTCAGCCATGCTTGGCCCAACTCCGCCTGCAACAACCTATGCAGTGTGTCAACGTCCGCTTCTTCCAATTGCCCAGGTGGTGGATGCCCAGTTGCCGATCCAAACGAGGAAAGCACGTTTGCCCACAACTCCTGCCAACGGTCTTCATAGACATCCATCTTGGCTGTGATGCAAATGGTGTTTTTTTCGGCTGGGCGTTACTGGGCGTTAATGGGCGTTGATTACATTGAAACCCTTCAAGCTTCATACAGCCTCTCACGCTCTAACAGCAAATGGCTACCTGTGCGAATTGTGTGCTAAAAGCAACTGTTCAAGTGCGACCCACTCTATGGCATTGTATGCCAACTATCTGCATCAACCTACCCGTTCATGACCTTTCGATAACTTCGCAAGCCACGCGACACAAATTCAGAAACCCAGAGCACTCAGGACAGATTGTCGTCGAACTCACATGCTCGAGCATTGTCTAAGGCACAGGCCTGGCGACGGGCGATTGGCTGTACGAATTCTTGGCAAGCTGCATGAACAATTTTTGTGGCGCTGAATCTGGGTTGGGGTTGACTTGCTTGCTGACACCCCAACTACGCACACCTACTGCATGCCCAACCAGCAACTCCCAAGCGCCACACTGCAAAGCCGTGAAGATTGTTGCAAAAACCTTATGAAAGATGGAACAAATCAACAAATCAACAAGTAGTCGCTTGCAGTGAAAGCTGCCCGTGCCATAACTGAGTTTTACGCTTTGTTCTCCACAGCCTGCGGCGATGATCTCACTACCCGCTGCAATCCTTCAATCCGCTTGAACACGTATACCCAAATTAGCTCGGCCTGGCAGCTGCCCGATAGGAACCTGAACCAGCGCGTTGATCAACATACTGTGGGTGAACACTGACATTATCTACCTACCCGAACAATGTGTGCTGGCAACCGACCCTCGCCAAGACCC